AGAGAGAGAGAGAGAGAGAGAGAGAGAGAGAGAGAGAGAGAGGAGCCAAGTTGGAGGAGCGGCCATAGCCGCAAGCTCAGACGAAGGAGACCAGAGTGACGGGAGAAGAGAGAGAAGGGAGAGAAGCCATAGTCGGTGGTGAAGAAGGAGTGCAAAGAAGGAGGAGGTGGGCAGGCAGAGAGAGATCGAAGCGAGCGAAGAAGTCTTTGGTTTTGAGGAGGAGAGGAAGCGAGCGATCGAAATGGCTTCTGCTGGTCAGTACTAAAACTATTTTCTTCTTCTTCTTTTTCTTTTTCTTCTTCTTCTTCTTCTTATTATTATTATTATTATTATTATTATTATTATTATTATTATTATTATTATTATTATTATTTTCTTCCACATTCTTTTCTTCTTCTTCTGCTTCTTCTTCTTCTTCTTCTTTTTCTTCTTTTTTTCTTCCACATTCTTTTCTTCTTCTTCTTCCCACTTCTGCCCGCTTCTCCCCACTTCTCCTCGCCTCTCCTCACTTCTCCCCGCTTCTCCCCACTTCTCCCCGCTTCTCGCCACTTATCCCCGCTTCTCCCTACTTCTCCCCGCTTCTCCCCTCTTCTCCCCGCTTCTCCCCACTTCTCTGCGCTTCTCCCCATGCTGTAGTGCAAACCCCCTACGATTATTTCGCCTAGGCTCCGGATCCGGATCTGGATCCGGATCCTAATCGCCACGTGGACCTGCCATGTGGCAGCGTCTACCTCCGCCTACCTCCGCCTACCTTCGCCGACCTCCGCCCCCCCCCCGCTTCTGCTTCCCAATCCGCTTCCGCTTCCGCTTGCGCCCCCATCAAGGCCCTGCCACGTGGCAGTGTCTACCTACACTTCCCAATCCCGTCCCCACCACGCAGAAGCGGATTGGGATTGGGAAGCGGAGGTAGGCCTCAGGCAGCTGTTGCTGCCCCGGTTGCCTCCCTACTTCTCCGCCGACCTCCGCCCGCCTCCGCTTCTGCTTCCCAATCCCGATCCGGATCCGGATCCCGATCCTCTCCCCCCACCTTCGCCCAGCTCCGCCCACCTCCGGCCGCGTTCGCCTACCTCTGCCCGTCTCCGCCGACCTCCGCCCCCCTCCGCTTCCGCTTCCCAATCCCGATCCGGCTTCCCAATCCGCTTCTCAATCCCGATGCGGCTTCCCAATCCCGATCCGCTTCCCAGTCTAGATCCGCTTCCAAGTCCCAATCCGCTTCCCAATCCCGTCTCCGCCTACCTCC